TGGTATGGCTACTTGGTGTCATGACTGCTTGGCAGATACAAGATATAGTTATTAAAATATCATAACACAATTCACACACACAGCTGCCTTGTAGCAGAGAAAGACTGGACTGGACACCTATGAATTACAAATGCTGGAATGGTGGGGTAGTGGGAGAGCTCCTCGGCTGCTCCACAGCAAGGCGGCTGCTTGAGCAAAGGACAATTTTTTTTTCCTTCCCACAAACAGAATCGTGTTCTATACATGTTATATAAAATTGTGCTGCAATTCTTCAATAGTGCAATACTCAAATCGTGCCAAATAAACTTGTGCTAAATGACGGTCTATACTATACAAGAGAAGGGATAACTAGCCCCTTGCTCCTGGCATTTTAGCCGCCTCTTACGGCATGCACGGCTTATAGAATTCTGTTCCACTTCCCCATAGAATATCAAAATCTACAAGAATCTCCCAGAATAGTATCTCTTTATTGGACCACATCTGGACTAACACCATATCCCCTTTAAAATCAGGCATAATCACAGACAACACCACAGACCACAACCCTATCTTTCTCATAACCAACCTAGGTAAACTGCCACAAGACACTACTAAAGTTACCTTCAGACTGCATAATGAAACAGCTGTAAATAACTTTATAGCAGCTATGAATAATGTCAACTGGCATAATGAGCTTGAAACACATACAGACACTAATGAATGTAGTATTAATAATTTTATAAAAAGAACCCACTACCTCTATAACAAGCATTACCCTGACAACTAAACAGCTCACAGAAAAGAGACTAAATAGTCCCTGACTAACACCCACCATCCTCAAATCCATTAACACAAAGCACTAATATGAAAAAAGTACAGAATGGGTCAAATAACTAGAGATCAGTCTAAATGTTACTCGTCAGCCCTTACCAGCCTGATAAGGTCTAAAAAGTTGCATTATGAAAACAGATTACAAAACATCAAATGTGATATAAAAAGAGACCTGGAAAACCCTATCTGAAATTCTGGGAACTAAAAGGATATCCAAAAACAAAACAATCAAATTAACAAAATCAGACGAACCCCTACTCCCACCAACTGAAACAGCAAACAGACTCGATATTTTCTTCTCCACCATAGGAAAGAATCTAACAAGCAAAATCCCAAGCTCAAACACCCATCCATCAGACTACCTCACAGGCACCTACCCGCATACACTATTCCTAGCTCCAACCAACCCAACAGAGGTCTTGCTCATCATCAACACCCTTATGAACAAGGCAGGAGACATACACAACTTGCCTACTTTTATGTACATACAAAAAAGCTTCATAAGTACTGTCACCAATTATTGCAACACTCTTTAACAAATCCATTGAATCCTCCACCTTCCCAGCAGTTCTCAAAATAGCGAGGGTTACCCCGATCCACAAAGGAGGTGATCAAGCCAACTTGAATAACTATAGACCAATAACTAACTTACCACTACTCTCTAAAATCTTTGAAAAATTAATTCATAGTCAGATCTAATCTTACCTCATCTCAAACAACATACTAAACCCCTGTCAGTTTGGATTCAGGAATAATAAAAACACAAATGATGCTATTATATACATGCTAGAGTTAATATATACTGCTCTCAAGAAGAAAGAAGTCCCACTGGGAATTTTCATCAACTTACGTAAAGCTTTTGATACAGCCGACCATGAATTCCTGCACACTAAATTAACACACTATGGTATAAGAGGCCACTCCCTCAACTACCTAAAGTCATACCTTAGTAACAGAAGCCAATACATGTATGCAAATGGTGCAAACTCTTCCACAAAACCAAGCACAGTAGGAGTCCCACAGGCAAGTGTCCCGGGACCACTCCTATTTCTCATCTATATCAGTGACCTACCGAATGCATCACAGCTACTCAAACCCATATTATTTGCAGATGACACTTCATACGTCTTCTCACACCCAAACCCAGCCATACTCGCCAACACTGTCAATGCTGAATCGCAGAAAATATCTATCTGGATGATGACGAATAAACTTTCCCTAAATACTGACAAAACCTATTTCATTCAGTTTGGAACCATAGCTGCAAATATTCCACTTAACACTAAATGGATCACCCATCACAAGACTCACAGAGGGAAAATTCCTAGGAATCCACTTAGACAGCAGCCTCAAATTCCAGACACATACACAACAAATTTCCAAAAAAATCTCTGAGACAGTAAGCATGCTAACAAAGATAAGATACTATGTTCCACAATCAGCTCTCTTTGCACTGTATCACTCACTCATCTACCCTTATTTCACATATGGAATTTGTGCATGGGGGTCAACATCAAATCACCTAAGGCCTCTTAATAACCCAACAAAAGGCTACAATCAGAATGATAACAAATTCCCACTCGCGACAGCACACTCCACCTCTATTCAAGTCTAAATTTGCTCAACATAAAGAACATCCACACTTATTCATGTGCCTACTACACACACAGAACAATACATGCAACATAAACCCTCCACTCAAACTTCTCACCAACCTTAACAGGGACACGACCAAACACAAGACACAAAAACTCTTTTTGATGTCCCCCTGTTCATATCACACGGGTGTAAAAAACTCTATGCACATAAAGAGCCCCAAAATCTGGAATTCATTACCAGAATATACTAAAAGTAACCAGGCCTGAAAATCAATTTAAAGGGACTCTTCTAAAAAAACCACTTATTTGCCCAGGACTAAATAATCAACACCCCAATATTTAAACTTTACCAATAATTCTCCCAATTACTTAAATCTTAAAACTTCAAGACAACACATAGTAAATTGATTTGTTTGTTATACATTGTAATGCGACAAATTTGTACAACCTTTTTATAAAAACTGCTTTTCAATTCAAAAATTTAAAATTTCTTTTTTTTTAAATAATTTTAACCCATAATTTGAAACCTTTTATATGTAAATTTTTTACTAATTTCTCCCCCACAAAAAAACCTTTTCAGGCTTTGGTTTAATTAAAGTTAATTTAAGCCGCCCAAATTTTGCTTTTTTTGGGGGTTTTTGGATGTACACACCTTTTAGTACTATAATTCTTTGTACAATATGTATCATTTTCCAAATAAACTATATGAAATATGAATATCATAGGTAGTAGGTTGGTAGACAGCAACCGCCCAGGGAGGTACTTCCCGTCCTGCCAAGTGAGTGTAAAGCAAAAGCCTGTAATTGTTTTTCATGATGGTAGGATTGCTGGTGTCCTTTTTTTGTCTCATAAACATGCAAGATTTCAGGTACATCTTGCTACTTCTACTTACACTTAGGTCACACTACACTACATGTACAAGCATTTTATATTACACACCCCTCTGGGTTTTTTCTATTTTCTTCTAGTTTTTTTGTTTATTTCCTTTTTCTCCATGGGGAAGGGAACAGAATTCTTCCTCTAAGCCATGCGTGTTGTAAGAGGCGACTAAAATGCCAGGAGCAAAGGGGGTGGGAAACCCCTTCTCCTGTATAAATTCCCAAATTTAAAAGAAAACTTTTGTTTTTCTTTTGGGCCACCCCACCTCGGTGGGATAGGCCGGTGTTTGAAAAAAAAAAGAATATATTAAATTATGGGTTTTCTTATTTTTTTCAGTTTTTTTTTCACTTCTCCAAAAGGGGAAACACAAAATCCCCCTAACATTTTTTGTTTCGAGTTTCGACTAAAACAAATACTGGTAAAACTTTCCTTTTAAAAATTTCTTAAATTTTAAAAAGAAAAAAATTTTTTTTTTTTTGGGAACCCACTCCGGTTTGGGAAATTTATGGCTGGACGTAAAAAAAAAAAAAAATATGAATAATTGGAAATTAAAAGGATTAGGTACCTAATATTTTTGTTTTGCAATGCTAAGAATTGTTTGTTTTAACACTTTTTAATTGATTACAATTCAACAATCAATTTAATTTAAATTTTAGTGTTACTACAACTAAACAAAAAAACAATAATTGTTAAAAACTTAATCTAAAGGAATTTCTAGTCTTTTCTGGTTTCGAATTTAAGTGGTAAATAAAAAAATTTGTAAGGATTCAAAAATATACCTAATGTAGGAACCTTACCTCAAGGCCAGTAGCTTTTTGTTGGGTTCCCGATAACCCGGGCTGTTCAAAAAAAAAATAAATGGTTTGAAAAGGCCCTTGGGGTATTATTAATAGAAACTAAAGCAGTATATAATGTTTGTTATTGCAAGTGCTGAAGAATATCAAGTGACAATTGTATAATAAATAAGTTCACTTTATAACTTGCATACTATATACTAACATTATAATATTAAGTTCATTACATCTATTGTCCATGTGGATTAAGAAACATTAAATGAACCAAAATGAAATGTAAACAAACCTAAGAGGTGAAGACAACTTACACTGCATGGAATATTCATGCCAGTCCTAGACTGGTGTGACTGATATCATCTAAGTGGTGACCTAAGTAAAATGAAATGTGTAAGGAATTAGTGTCATACAAGAGGGATATACCTGTGACTGCCTTCAGGAGTCTTTCTACCCTCACAGCCTAGCCTGGAGCCAGGTTTTTCTGTTGGTTGCCTGTTTAACCATGTTGTTGCTGTTGGCAGCCCACATGACCACAAAGCCATAACAGCTGGTTGATCTGGCACTTGAAGGTAGTGATTCAGTTTCCCAATAGAAACTGATCACAAGCATGTAAGTCACAGGTGTATGTAGTCAGCACAGACCCCCAGACATGAAGGATGAGAAGGCAGAGATAAAATACAATAAAAATAATAGTTCACTGTTATAAACTTACTAAATTCTAGAGAGTTTTAACAAGCAATAACAATTCTTAAAATATATTACATTTTCATCATATTAAGAGTATTTGTATAGCACTAAGAATGCAAATATTCAAATAAAAGAAAAAATCCTTAAACTTAATATAAAAGTGTTGGGTGAATATGTCTGGTAATATATACCAGAATGTGATAAAATTATTTTAGGAAGAAATAAATAGAGGTAGTGATTCCAGGAATAAATATAAATTGAAAGTTCTCTGTAACAAATGTGGTGCACCTTAGTAAGTACACACTTTCAAGGAAGCAGGTACAGAAATAACCAAAGAAATATTTACTATATTATAACACAGACAACCACTTAAAACATTTTGTGTATCTTAACATTTAGGTAAAAATGAACAATGAGAGTACCTTGATGAATATTGTATATGCTACTACATGTATTACGGTCCCTACAAACCTGTTTGGAATTCTGTCTTTTCAACTGCTAAAGTGCATCATGAAGATTCCAGAAGAATCTTGTAATTCATTATAAAGCAGGTATGCTGTGTCTTCTTCACTGATCATTATACAATGCACTGGATTTAGCTGAAGAGTGGTTTCACATCTTCAAAAACTTCTTCTGGAGATCGAGTTGCATCAATTGTTTGAACAAGGTTCAGTGCTTCATAATGCTCTATGATGGGCATTGTGGCATTCATGTAGGTGTCAAATCTCTTTTTTAAAGATTCCATGTTGTCATCAGAACGCCCTGAACCAGCTGCCCCTCTGTCAAGGCAACGCTGGGTACATACCTGCAAGTTTGTATAAAGTGTTTAAACATGGCAAATATTGTAATATTCATAAGCCACAATTTAATTAACTAAAATAAAGCACGTACAAGGGCTTCCTAAAAAGTAGCTTGGAAACCCTGAGCCTATTATCGTAAAGAAAATAAGTTGCGTGTTACACATCCATCTTGCAAATGCAGCTCACCACTTTTTTTTTTTAACACTTTGGCCCTCTTCCACTTAGGTAGTGACCTGACAAGATAGAAAACCCTTTTACTGTCACTCATGCAATCACAGAAGGGCACTAACATCACAGTTCAGATGACCCTCCAAAGCCCAACATCCTTCAGAGGGAACACCACCTAGACTGAAGTTCAGCAAACTGGTTTCCCTGAATCTCTTCATAAATATTGCCTCACTCACACTCCAATAGTATGCCAAATTATAAAAACAATTTGCCTCCACTAGTTCCCATCTAGTTGGATGTCCAACCCCCTAGCACTCAACACCTTTATCCCTTCCAACTCTTAAGAAGACCCTGCCCCTACTTCCCTCCACTTCCAATTTTTATGGCCTCCTAGTCATCCTATTTTTTTTCCATCATCTTAATCTCTACAAATCACTTCAACTAAACCTCCTCCTCAGCCCTCTGAATATTACTGCTGGTAACTCTACACTTAATCTCCAAACTTCGAATTCTCTATATAATACTCATACCACACACTGCCCTAGGATATAGGAAAGTACTGGCTTGGTAACAGAATTGTGGATGTGTGAAACAAACTCCCGAGTAGCATTATTAAAGTGAAAACCTTAAAATAGCTTTAAAAATGGGTTAGACAAGTACATGTGTGGGTTGATAAATTAGACACATGCGTAACTCTTGGGTATCTTTATTGAGGAAACGTTTCGCCACACAGTGGCTGCATCATTCCATACAAAGGAGAATCGTGAAGAACACGATTCTCCTTTGTATGGACTGATGAAGCCACTGTGTGGCGAAACGTTTCCTCAATAAAGATACCTAAGAGTTGCACGTGTGTCTAATTTATCAACGTGTCAGTTCTCTGAACCATTCATCTACACACGTGTGGGTGGGTGAGAGTTGGATCTGCCTAGCATGGGCCAGTAAGCCTGTTGAAGTGTTCCTCCTTTATGTTCCTAATACCCCAAATATAATGGAGGCCCAATACACACAATACCTAAGTTAAATATTTTCTTCCTTTCAAAGATAATGTTTTTATCGTGAAAAATTTCTGGTGAAAACGATTAATCAACACTTCTGAAATGTTGATTTTTGTTTTTTAACAAGCTGGCCGTCTCTCATTGAGGCAGGGTAAACTGAAAAAGAAACACTTTCACCATCATTCACACTATCACCGTCTTGCCAGAGGTGTGCAGATGCAACAGTTTAGATGTCACTCTAAACAGCAAATATCCTAAACCTCTCCTTTAGAGTAAAGGCACTGTACTTCCCACCTAAAGGACTCAAGTCCAGCTACCCGGTTTCCTGGAATCCCTTCACAAGATACTACCCTGCTCACACTTCAACAACTTGTCAAGTCCCAAAATCCATTCATCTCCACTCATTCCTAGCTAATACATTCACAAATGCCTGCTGTATTGATATGTAACTTTATTCCTGTACTTACTTCCAAAGGGCAATTGAAGAAAAGAACAAACTTCAAATTAACTTTTTCTCCCATCTGCTTGTTCCAACCTTCTAGATTGTTTTGGTTGCGAGGAAAACCATCAATCAGGAAGTCATTTTTTTCTGAATTCTGAAAAATGAAATACATTAATGAATTGCAAAGCCCCAAACTCGCATTTACAAAAATGTTCATTTCTCAATTCACAGGTTATGCCAACCTATCCTTTCACACAATTCATTCAAATATGCATTGCTTCCATGCACAAATTACTTCCCTCTGTGCTAAGCTTGTATGGAAGGGTACAGTGGTTATTGCAAACCCTGAATGGGTCACAATGTATATAATGTATATTACCTGTTCATATAATTTTATATTGCTTATATTTGTGATATTAGCTAAATCGTAAATATATTGCTTTATATTATTATTTGACTTAGTTATATTATTAGGTAGGATGTAACATTTATATATTATTCAGTGCTCATAGTTCGAGTGTTAAGTAGCTGACAGCATTGTCTAACTACTGTAATTTTCACTCCGCTTGTTTTGCTACCGGCTTCTGTGTTGCTGGGCTGCAGCAGTCCACGGAGAGTCACGTGATCAGGGTGGGGTTATCACACCTCACCTGGAGGGAGAGTCGGCCTGGCCTGTGCTAGCTCTTGTCTGTTTGACGTTGCTTCTAACAAGATGTGCCTCTCTAGCTCTCCCTTGTTGGAAGATTGTCTCTGTCGCTTTCTTGTTGTTGGCTCTGTGTAACTCTGTTCACAAAGCATGGCCTAGACTTAGTGATTTTCGATGTTGTACTGAGGTTGTGTGTCTCATAGACACTGAGAAACTCAGGTTCTGAGCTGTAGCTTCTGACCTAATTTGCAATGGTACGTGTGTACTGTCACAGTCGGGGATTTTCTAATGCTGAACTTAGATTCAGTAGTATGGGAGTTTTGTGACTTTTGTGGAGGATCTGCAGATGGTCCCTACTTAGTGTCGTTATATTATCTCCTTGTTCCTGATTCTGTGTCGCTGTTGCTTGTTATATTGCTGTTCGGCTTATCAGTCGTTTTATTGTTCAAACAAGCTGTTCTGATTGCCAGGTTGGTCAAGAAGTTAGTCTATGAGAGGACTTTTAGTTAGTCACTGGTTAAGACTAGTGGAGTCTTGAGACATAGCGAACTAGGTACTTAGTGCACTTACACACATATACACAAACTTACTAGTATATATTTGTATTATGTTATTAAATGCTAACAATGTACCAGACTGTACTTAAAAGCCATATTATTATTATTATAATCAAAAAGAAGCGCTAAGCCACAAGGGCTATACAGCGCTGCAGGGTAGGGAAGGAAGCGAGGGTATTGGACGGCAGAAGGGAGGAGGGATGATCAGCAGGTTACAGAAAACAGCGGGGCAGGGGATAGTACGGGGGTAGAGGGTAGCAAGAGATTGAAGTAGAAAGGGCTGAAGGTATCAGAATTTGTGAAGTAAGTCAGTTGTTGTCAAAAAGTCAATGAGAGAGTCTGGATGAAAGGTGGGTCCATCAGCGAGAAGGGAAGGTAAAGAGAGAGTAGCGGAGCGAAGACGACGACAGAGGTAAATTCTGCGTGCTCGTTGATAAAGTGGGCAGTCCAACAGAATGTGGCTGACTGATAATGGAGCTTGGCAATTCTCACAGAGAGGAGCAGACGCCTCTCCATGAGATATCCATGAGTAAGACGAGTATGGCCAATGCGAAGACGGGAGAGAGTAGTCTCCCAACTGGTGATAAGAAGACGGCCAGTAACCTATACTCGGTTTAATAGATTGAAGTTTGTTGCCGAGTATAGTAGACCAACGTTGTTGCCAACGGGTGTGAAGGTGGGAAGATATTGCAGCAAAATAGTCCGTAAATGGAATACCTCTATAAGAAACTGGTAGGTCATGTACTGCTGACCGCACAGCAGTGTCTGCCTGTTCATTGCCCTGTACGTCAACATGACCAGGGACCCAACAAAAAAAACAATATCTTTATGCTTGGTAAAGATGCAGCGTAGCCAAAGTTGGATACGGAGGACTAAGGGGTGAGGTGCATCAAATTTTTGTATAGCCTGTAAAGCACTAAGGGAGTCTGAGACAACCACAAATGATGACCAGGCATAGATGCAATACGGATAAGTTGCTGTAAGGATGGCATACAATTCAACAGTAAAAATACTAGCCGAAGATAGTAAATCCCCTTGTACGGCGCTGTCCGGAAACACTGCTGCGAATCCTACGCCGTCTGAAGACTTAGAGCCATCTGTGTACACGGCAATGGCATGAGAATGAGAGTGAAAGTGGTCAAGAAAAAGAGAGAGGGAAGCGACTGTAGACAGTTGGGCTTTCGAGCAAGGGAGGGAGAAAGAACAGACTCGAACAGCTGGAACTTCCCAGGGGGGTAGGGAAAAGTGAGATGCTACATGTACATAGAAAGGTGGTAGTTGAAGAGAAGACAAGAGCGAATGAAGGCGAAGAGAGAAGGGACGGAGTAAACAGGGGCGGCGAACGAATAAAGAATGTCTACTAATATCAGTGACCATTCTATAAATGGAAGGATTGCGGAGATCATGAGAGCGTATATAGTAGCGCAGGCAATGGGCATCACGGAAATCGGATAAGGATGGAACGTTCGCTTCTGTATAGAGGCTCTCGACAGGGGAAGAGCGAAAAGCACCAAGGTAAAACGTAATCCTTGGTGATGAATGGGGTTAAGGCTAGAGAGAGTAGCAGGAGATGCTGCTGAATAGATCTGTCACCATAATCAAGTTTCGATAAAATAAGGGTGGAATGTAGGCGGAGGAGGGTTCGACGATCAGCTCCCCATGAAAGATGAGCAAGGGTTTTAAGAAGGTTCAGCCGGCTGTGACAAGTTGCCTTCAGAGAGGTAATGTGAGGTTTCTAGGATAACCTACGATCAAAGAGGAGGCCGAAACTGACTGTTTACTTCAGGGTAGGGAAACCATAAGGGGACAAAAAGGATGATCGGGGAGACAGGC